CTACCTCCTGCCTCCTGCACGTGAAGTGCCTGGGAAGTTCCTAGGAACTGCCTCGTGACTGCCTGCAGCCTGCAGGGCGGGCCAGTCATATATAGTGCTGGCCATTCCAGGAGGCTGCTCTTGCCAATGCCAAAACGTGCCAGACCCTGGCGTTGAAGTTCAACCAAAAGTTGTCTTGAAAACAGGCCCAAAATGGCCTGTGCTAAAACCCTGGTCTGGTGCCTAAGTTTCAGGGCAGGTCGATCTAATGAGGTCCTGAAAACGGCCCTCCGTTTCAGGCTGAAAAGACTCAGGGCCTGGAGGGCCCTGTTTTAGGCTGAAACGACACAGGGCCTGTAGGCCCTTGTTTTCAGGCTTTCAGGCTGAAACGACACAGGGCCTGTAGGCCCTCGTTTTCAGGCTTTTAGGCTGAAACGAAATAGGCCCTACACCTACTGACCCTCAGTCTACCTTGTCGGGCTCTGCTGGGCCCGTGTGGTACAGAGTATGCCACACTCCCCCCTCCTTGAAAGACCGAGCTTACCTGCGAGGGCGAAGCTGTCGGTTGGAGGGAGGGACTGAAGTCCGGGTGGGAGGCTGTGCAGCTTCCGTGGCTAGCCGTTTTTTCTCATAATCAGCGTAGATCTCTGGTGCGGAGGCTTGCAAAGCTGCCCGGGAAATCCATCGCGTGTCGTCGTGGTCGCACCACTTGAATGTGACTTTGTACTGCATTGGCTTGTTGTCATGCTTGCGATGCGTGATGACGCGGTCGCCTTCCTGATGACCATCCATGGAAGGAGGGTCCTGAGATCGTCAGCCCAGGAAGTCGTCGCTCTTGGCTGGTGTATATGTGGCCAGCTTGGAGGCATGGAAAATCGGGTGCATCGTAAGATGCGGCGGGATTTCGATCACAAATGAGGGGCCATCGGGCTCATCGCCCGCGGCTGCTGTGACGGGCCATGGTCCAAACCACTTTGGAAGTAGCTTGTGGGATACATCTTGTTCAAGCGCAAACTCCTCTGTGGAGACCCAAACAAGGTCGCCGGTGCGGATAGGGCATGGCAAGTGACGCCTGTTAGCTTGCCGTTGCATGCAGACTTGAGCCTTTTCCATGTTGGCGCGGGCTTTAGCCAGCAAGTCCCTATACTTCCGAACGGAGGCGGGAGAGCAAGCCGCGTCAATGTCGGCAGTCCTTGGAAATGGAAGATCAGCGAAGATACGACCTTTCCTGCCACCGTGGTGCAACTCGAATGGAGTAATGCCGATCGCCGGGTGCAACCAACGGTTGTAGGCGAATTTGATGTCGGGGAGGCGGTCCACCCAATCCTTCTGATCCGTACGGATGAGTGTGCGAAGCATTACTTGAACGTTTGATGTGCCCACTCATCCCGTCCGTTTGTGGATGCCGAGCCGAACTTGGTTTCATCTCGGTGCCGGACTCTTTCATGAGGGAGGTCCAAAATGCCGACATAAAACGAGTGTCGCGGTCACTGACGATGTCTTCCGAAACGTCGTGGCCGCAAATCCAGCCGATGTGTAAGAGGCGTGCAAGTTCAGGAGCCATGGCGTAGTACTTGCAAGGAAGAAATCGTGCGTACTTGCTCAATCGGTCAACGACCGTGAGAATGTCGTTGTGCCCGAAGCGGTCACGGGGGAACGGACCGGTGCCGTCCATAGCAATGGAGAGGCAGGGTTCCCGCGGAATAGGCAACGGGCGTAACTCGCCGTAGGGGTTGTGATTGCGGGGTTTGCTTCATCGGCAAACTTCGCAAGAGTCGCAATAGCGAGTGACGTCGGTAATGAGGTCCGGCCACCGAAATCGTTGCCGAAGTCTTGCGATCGTACAGTTGACTCCAAAGTGGCCGGCGAGTCTAGAGTCGTGGTACTCGCCGAGGAGGCGAGTCCGTAAGCGACAGTCGTGTGGGACGCATAGTAAGTCCTTGCCTCGTGAGTGAAGAAGCAAGTAGTTGTCGACGACGCGATAGTGGCTGGCTGGCGGGTGATCCGAGGATAGTTGCTCGTAGAGCGTGGCGTATTCCGGATCGGACTTGTATGCTCGCACATTCCTCGCATCATCAACCGAGTTGATGGGAAGCACCTTTTGGCTGAAGTACTCAACCGGATGCCAATCTACTCCATCGTGTTGTTCCAAAACTGCACCCATGCCGTAGCCGAAAGCGTCCGTAGTCACTCTCGTAGGCAAGGTGAGATCGTAGATACTCAAGATGGGAGCGAGAAACAATGCCGTCTTCAATTTGTGGAACGAACTGCGGACTTCGTCAGTGAACTGCAAAGGCACCTTTGGAGACTGCAATCTTGACAAGGGCGCGGCGATCCGTGAGTATCCTCCGATGAAGCGTTGGTAGTACCCCACCAATCCCATAAAAGATCGGAGTTCCATGTTGTTGGTTGGTTCCGACCAATCTTGAATGGCCTTGATCTTGTCCGCGAGCGGACGGATGCCTTGTGGCGTCACAAAGTGGCCCAAGTACTCGAGCTCTTGCTGGGCAAATTCGCACTTGGCTCGGTTGGCCTTGTACTTGGTCGTACGTAGCCTGTCCAAAACAGCACGTAGATGCACGATGTGCTCGTCCAAATTCCGGCTATATACCAAGATGTCATCGAGGTAGATGAGCACAAACCAGTCCAACATGCCGCGAAACTCCATTGTCATTGCCGCTTGGAAGGTGGTCGGGGCATTCGTGAGGCCGAATGGCATTACGACCCACTCGAAGTGCCCGTACCATGTCTTGACCGCGGTTTTGTATCGATCTCTTGGATGGATCTCGAGCTGGTGGTAACCGGCCTTGAGGTCCAACTTGGAGAAATACTTGGCGTCGCCCAAGCGTTCGAAAATATCGTCGATGCGTGGAAGCGGGCCGGCATTCTTATTTGTTTGAGCATTAAGCTTACAATAGGCGATGCATAAGCGCAGCTCCTTGTTCTTCTTCCGAACGAAGAGAACGGGTGCACCGTAGGGCGAGCAGCTAGGGCGAATCCAGCCCTTGTCAACGAGGTCATCGAGTTGCGTTCGAAGCACTTCGAGTTCCTCCTCGCTCATGCGGTAAATACATCCGCGCGGAGGTACGGCCCCGTCTTCGAGGATTATCTCGTGACGAATTGGCCGATTCGGTACCATTCCGGCGGGGGCTTCGAAGACGTCGCCATAGGAGTCAAGAAGCTGTACAGTGCGTGGATCTGGTGGCTATTCCACTGCTGGCTCGTCGGGAGGAGGGAGGGCGTGCAAGAAACAAATGCCCATTTCCTCCACGTCGTTCCGTGCGATGGAGTTGCGAATGCTTGCCGCGGAGACCACGTGACAACCAATCGAAGGGTGAGGTGGGGGGACCGTACATGGATCAAGTACCCCGTTCCGATCACGAACGTGAATGGTGCGACGGTAAAAGTTCACCGGGTGGTCCTCGCTGCGCAGCCACGACATGCCCAAAATCATGTCGAATTGTGTGTCCAATATGTCAGAGGACACAGCCTCGCATGCATGCGGGGCGAAGCACACGGGGATGGAGTCAACGCACCGGTCAATGGACTTGTGCGTACGACTGCGATTTCCTTCGAACGCGCGCCCCAAGGCCGGCGCGCGTCATGAAGTCCTGGCTGATGTAGTTGCGAGTAGCTCCACAATCAATCAAGGCGCTTCAGGTCGCCTTCCCGATATGAATACGGACGTAGAGTAACAGTGCGTCGATGTTGTCGTACCGTTGCGTGGCGTACCTGTGGTCAATCTTCGCAATGTACTCGTGAAGGTCAACAACCGCTACTCCGTCTTCCATCAACGGAGCTGGTACTGCAGCGTGCAAGTAGGTGCGTAGTTCCGCCATTAGGGCGTTGCAATGCGGCTTCAGCAAGGAACCAGATGGGGGAAGCGGCAACCATTGGAAGTCCTCCACCGTCAATGGGTCGAGCTCCTCAAGTCTAGACCATATCGACGAGTCCCCGAATAGTGTCGACGAGGATGCTGGTTCACTTGGCGATGGTGTTGAAGTCGCGCACGCATATGACTCTTGCACGTGGAGAGGTTGGTCCAACGGCGGGACCAGCTGGATAGCATAGTCTTCATAACCTTCGTGAAGACTGGCAACATACGCATGTTCCCCGGACGTGGAGGAAGTTGCTAGCAAGGCAACTGTGTCCAGCGGAGTAGGAAGTGGAGTCGCCTCACTTCCCGTGGAGCTCAGTTTCCCGAGCTTTGTCGTGGACGAACGTCTTCTTTGCCTTTGTCAGGGCATTGCGACGTCGTGTGCTTAGTGCTGTTGCACCAATAGCAACAGTTCCACCTCTGGCGGAGCTTGAATTGCTCCTCCGTGAGGCTGAACTTCTTCCACGGCTCATTCGACTGTCCGGCTTCCGTTGTTGACGCAGATTTTGCCTTTTTCTTCTTGTTGTTGCGTCTTGGCGGAAGGGCGTTGACTCCGCCTCCTTCACTAGACTCGTGAGTCAGCGCCTGGTCGTCCTCTTGTCCATTGCATTGGACAGCAGCGACTTGCTGCGACCGCGGGCCTTTGCCCTTTTCCACAAAATTTGGTCGAATTCGCCACTCGTTGGCGGCCCATCGATTTGTTTGGATGACTTCACGCGCCTTATCCACAATCTGGTCAAAGTCTGTGTACACACTGCACTCCCCAAGGGCCATGCTCAATGCGTCAACCGACCGTTGGAAGAATTCGTGACGAAGATGTACGAACAGTATGTCCAGATTCGGAATCGTCACAAGTTTCTGCCATTCGGTTAGCCATTCGCATGTTGGCTGGCTGCCTTGGTGCATGCTGGAGATCCGGTTCACGCCTTTGCCTTGAGCGTCGCAGACGATGAAGCGTTTCCGCCACTTCTCGGTCATGGCCTCCCAAGTGATCTTGGTGTAAAGCTTAGAGACTTCGAGAGCTCGTTGGTGAACCCTTGCCACCAACTTATGGGGTCCGCCTTGTGGTAGTCATCAAATCTGTCGATGTTGAACTTCGGCATCTTGAATTGTTTCGACATCAGGCTGTTGCACGTCCCAATTGGTTGCTGTTGCAGCTGACCCAGTTCCGCTTGCAGGGCGGCTATTTGCTGGCTGATGATCGACGGTTGTCGGAAACTGTTCAAATTTCCAACGAGCGCCACTAGATGATCCATTCGTTCTTCCACCTCGTGGATCGATGGATCAATGCTTGACGATGACGTGTGCCTGTGCGGCACGTCATCCTTCTCCAGCACATCAAGGCGGGCATGGAGGCCCTTGAGAGTCTCCTCATACTCAGCAATGGTACGTGCCTGCCGAGCCAGCTCTACTTGTTGCCAATTACAAGTGAGGATGACTCGGTGCATCATGTTGGCGAGGGCTGACTTGGTCTGCTCCTCCGCAGTTGGTTCCGTCGTCTCCGCCGGATCAACATTCCATGCTTGGAGTGCCGCGGAATGAGCGGCTTCCTGCTGCATGAGGACAGATGCGGCATCTTTTCGAGCTTTGTTATGGTTGGCAGCTGCTTCAGCGTGCTTCCGGCGCCGTTGCTCCGCATCGCGTGCAATGGCGTTGAGGCGTGCCGTTTCGGCTGCCGCCTCGCGTTGCTGTTCCTCTCGTACTTGTTGCATGTAGGTGTCCAGGCGGGCCAGGAAGGCCATCATGGTCTCTCCTTGCTCCCGGACTGGCGCCGCATCGAGGGCTCCCGCAGGTGTCGCAGTGGAACCCACCTGTTAAAGGGGGTTCGAGCTGCACGCCTCGCGTGGACTGCCGGATGCGGCATTGTCCACCGTGGGGTCGCCCTGAGCATCCATTGCAGAGGGGTGGGGCAAGGGTAGCTGCTGTTCCACTGCGGCTGCCCGCCGTTCACGTGCTGCGATGCGTTTGCTGCGCCGGAGCATAAGCTGCAGTTAGCTGTTCAATGACGAGGTACTGCTGATGTGGCCCTGCTGCTGTCGTGGTACTGCTGACGTGGCACTGCTGCTGACGTGGCACTGCTGCTGTCATGGCACTGCTGACGTGGCACTGCTGCTACCGTGGCACTGCCGACGTGGCACTTACCAAAACGGGAATGTAGGCAAAAAGGGTTGGGTGGGAGGGAAAACGCAGGAAGGTAACCAACCAAACTGCACTTTCCTCCCGGTCCTAATCAACAGAATAAAAATAAAAAATAAAGGAAGAGAATCACCCCCCTTTTTTTTTCTTTTTTTTTTTTTGTATATCTGTCGATCTGCTAACAGTGAGGCATTTTACAGAGTAGTGCTAAGAGTAAGATCTAGGCAAGGCTTCGTAATATTTCGTCTTTCAAAAAAAAAATTGTTCGAACATAGGATAGAGATTCGATTTTCAGAAAAGAATAAATCCAGTTTCCGATAATATGACAATCTCCCTGTTAACCTGTATGCCCAGAAAAACGAGATGCTAACATCAGAAATTTTTGGCTATAAATAGTAATATCAGAAATTTTCGGATGCTAATATTAGAGAAACTACATGCTACCATCAGAAATTTTCAGATATTTATTGTGTGAAAACGAAATGCTAATATCAGAACTTTTCAGATAAAACGAAATGCTAATATCAGAAATTTCCAGATAAAGCGAAATGCGATTATCAGAAATTTTCAGATATTTGTTACGAGAGAAAAAAAAAAAAAAAAATTGCAGAGATTTGACGAAGTCCTCCTTGATTTACTAATAAAAACAATCGATCAATCAATCATTCTACAATCAGTAGATCAAGCAAGCTGGCTACTTGACTGGGCGGATCCTCTGATTGAGAGGTCCGCTCAAACTGTCGCATACCGTAACGGTACAGACCAGAACAAGAACCGACCTCTCTCACAAATTACAAGATAACACAGCGGAAGCCTTAAATACCAATGATCCAAACAATCAATGTTGCCATGCAGACCAAACATACATCATCATCATTCCATGGTGTGAAGGGGCCTGGCGCTCACACAGGAAGAATGCACCAGTCCCCAACTATACACAGGCGAAGAAGAGGGGGGTTAGACGAAGAAGAGGGGAAGATGGAAATGTCGTCAACACCAAGTCTTCGGTACAGTCCCAAACAATCCCTCGTCAAATGTCTGAATCCCAATGTCGAGTCTGGATCCATATATCGTAAATCCCAAAGTCACAAATCCCTCTCTCTCTCATAGCCTGCAGATACTGAGAAGTCAGGTAGCGAGAGGGTGAGGAAGCGATGGTGGACTTAGAAGAGGAAGAAGAAGAACTCTCTCTCTCTCTCTCTCTCTCTCTCTCTCTCTCTCTCTCTCTCTGTGTGTGTGTCCGGTACTAACCTGTGAAGGTGGCGCCTTGTTGCAGGTACCTCGAAGACGAAGCTGGAGCTATGGCGCCACAGGTAAGTCTCCCTGGCCTCCGCCAACCATCGCTCTCTCTCTCTTTCCAACGCTACTCTAGCTCCTGCTAGCCCCCAGCGCTGAAGACTACTGCAAACGCTACTACTACTGCAGCGCTCCTCCAGAGTGCTGCCGCATCCTGAAGACTACCTCCTGCCTCCTGCACGTGAAGTGCCTGGGAAGTTCCTAGGAACTGCCTCGTGACTGCCTGCAGCCTGCAGGGCGGGCCAGTCTCATATAGTGCTCGTCCGTCCAGGAGGCTGCTCTTGCCAATGCCAAAACGTGCCAGACCCTGGCGTTGAAGTTCAACCAAAGGTTGTCTTGAAAACAGGCCCAAAATGGCCTGTGCTAAAACCCTGGTCTGGTGCCTAAGTTTCAGGGCAGGTCGATCTTATGAGGGCCTGAAAATGGCCCTCCGTTTCAGGCTGAAAAGACTCAGGCCCTGGAGGGCCCTGTTTTAGGCTGAAACGACGCGGCCTGTAGGCCCTTGTTTTCAGGCTTTCAGGCTGAAACGACACTGGGCCTGTAGGCCCTCGTTTTCAGGCTTTTAGGCTGAAACGAAATAGGCCCTACACCTACAGACCCTTAAGTCTACCTTGTCGGGCTCGGCTGGGCCCGTGTGGTACAGATTATGCCACAGAGTCTGGAGGAAGTGGCGGCCATAGCCGCGGAGCTCGAGCACGGAGTGATGAAGGAGGAAGGAGGAGACATAGCTGGGGAAGAAGGAAGAAGCCGGGGAAGAAGGAAGAAGGGACAACGATGTTGAAGACAGACAAAGCCGAGGGTGAAAAAAAAAAAAAACAAGAAAGGAAGAAGAAAGGGGCAAGATAGAAGAAAGGTGAAGAAGGTGAAGAGAAGGGAAGTTGGCGAGGAAGAAAGTGCTGGCAGCCATAGCTGACTTAAGAGTTGACCGGGTGTTGACCGGAGCGTTGACCAAGGTTTGACCGCATTGACCAAGAGTTGACCAAGGCATTGACTGGAGCTGTTGACTATGATTTTGACCAAGCTGGAGTTGGTATAATCTCGCCAAGCCCTTAGCCTATCCCCTCGCCCTATGGATGTGCACTCACCCTATGGTACTTGCTGAGTCTGAGTCTGTCTGTCTCTTGTTTCTGCATTGAGTCTCTTATGTCCAGGTGATAGGACTCTGTGCATGAAGGATAGCGCCTCGTTGACCAAACCCGCGTGGGCTGAGTAGGGCTACCCGTGGTCCTTAGATCGAGTCGGTCTCAAGTTGAGTCAGTTAGGGGGAGAGTCTAAGTGGTGTGGAGTGGAACCGTCACTTGGTTGTCTTTCACCATGGTTGACACGCGTACCGAAACGAGCACCTCCCCTTACACAGAAGCACAGGAGGCGAAAGCCGCCGCCATCCTAAATGAGAGAAGAGAGGAGGCCAATAAGAAGGCCTTGCTGGAAGAACAGGCGGCGAAGAAGAAGAAGATTGAGGAGGAGATGGCAAGGGAAATGGAGAGGTTGCAAAAGGAGGAGGAAGAAAAACTTCGAGCAGTAGAGGCCGAAGAAGAGGTAGAGAAGCAGCCACTGCAGAGGAGAAGAACCAAGCAAAAAGGGGAATCCAATGGTGTCAAGGAAGATCCGTTGGATGCGAAGATTACGGAATGGATGGCCAATCTTTCCCTGGGAGAAGAGGAGGAGGCATTGATGTATGTACCCAGGGAAGAGCAGGAGGCGTCCATGAAAGAGTCGGATGCAGAGGAAGATCCACTCAAGCGGCAGACAATCGAAGATGAGAAGAGGATGGTTTGGAAGTTGCGGCTGATGAGGGAAAGGAAAAGAAGAGTGGAAGCAGTGAGTCAAGCGGCAAGGGAATTGGAAGAAGTAAAGAAACAGAGAGCGCAGATGGAGGCGCAGGCGGACCTATTGGGAAAGGTTCAGGTCATGGCGAGGAACATCGAGCGCCTAGCGCAGGTCCACAAAGAGCAGTATCAATTTGTTAGGAGTCAGGACATAGCCCTGCGGTTTATACGACTGGGATTCAGGGACTTCACACGTGAGTTGGTGATGCAGGTGGGCTCAGAGGTGAAGGTCCGCCTAGAGAGCACAAAGCGTTATCGCACGGGCGCCATAGAGGGCGCCAGGCTGGCCGCACCCAAGGAGGAGGAATCACGTCCTCATAGAGAGCCTGTTAAAGTGAAGTTCCCCGACAATTGGGAGGCCAACATTAAAACGTACGTGCACTTGCAGAAGGTCGCTCCGGACGAACACGTCCTGATAGCTATCCACGCTTAGGGAGGAAGCAGCAACTTTCATCCATTCTTTGTGTCGCGCCGCCAATTGCAACGATGACGTAGTTGCATATTCAACATTCACCCCTCTCAGCGATTTCCTTAAATCATTGAGGGAACGGTTTGCAGATGTTACCCGTAGTGTCAAAGCCTCAGATAAACTGCAAACCATCCATTCTCGCTTCAGCGTTCACCCCTCTCAGCGATTTCCTTAAATTATTGAGGGAACGGTTTGCAGATGTTACCCGTAGTATCAAAGCCTCAGATAAACTGCAAACCATCCATTCTCGCCAGTGGAGTGCCAGGCGTTATGGATGAGCTGGTCGCCGTCCCTGACCATGGGGTCACTGAGACCCAGTTGGTCAATCTCTTCTACCGCGCTATGCCCGAACAGTTACGCGGGCATTTCTTTGAAAAAAGTCAGCAGCCTACCATGACCTATGATGCTTCGAGCAGGGAAGTGGTAGCATTCGAAGCACGGTCCATGTTAGTCTCCACTTTCTGGCACAAGGACCTGGAGAAGGGCAAAAAGTGGAAAGGTCGTACCATCTCGGGTCAGGTTAAGGTAAAGGATCACCTGATCCTTACGTTAGATGAAGGTGGTATGGATGAAGTCCCCTACGACCAGATAGAGTGGGGACTAAAAGCGGAAGAGGACAGTAGCTCTAGCCAGGGGAGGACTTACGCTGCTGTCGTGGCCAGAGGGAGGCTGCAAGGAGGAGGTAGAGGCCAGGGCCAAGGGGGCCGGGCCTCAGGTGGTCGTTCCCAGGGCGATCAGGGGGTTGGCGGTAGGGGAAACCGCCAAGCGGGAGGCAAGGGTCAAGGTCCCCCGCAAAACCGTTTTGGAAATAGGTCACCAAATAGGGGTAATAGGTCACCCTATAGGAGAAGTGGTTGGCACCCAGGTCTGCCACAGGGCCGACCTTGGGAAGATTTGGGCCTGGACCAGCACGCCTGGCAACAGCGTGTTGACCAGAGGCAGTGCGTATATTGCGGGACCCTGGCCACATCATCAAATATTGTCCAAAGTATAGAGAGCCCCGTTGGGCTGCCCAGGGGTCAAAAGGCAGCCGCCGGTAGGGGTTGCAATCGCCCCTACCATAAGGCCATGTGGGGAAACGAGCGCAAGCCGACAAAAAACTCCCACACCACATGCGCCTATGGCAAAGGTTGTAGGTCGGTGCCTAGATAGTTGTCTAGAGACTGCATGTATCAGAGTCTCTTTAGGCACCTCCCTCACAGGCGTGGCTGATGAGCTAAAGGAGGGGATGCCCGCCTAGGCCAAGATGAAGAAAGAAAGTAGAGGACAACTGGTACTAGTAGACGTAGAAGTCTTTAGGAGCAGAGAGAGGGCCCTCGTAGATAGTGGGGCCACTCGCAGCTACATCAGTAGAAAGGCGCTGCAAAAGTTAAAGTTCGGATTGAAAGTCCGAAAGTTAGCAGACCCCATAGTAAGCATCCTCGCAGATAACCACACAATGCAAGTAGAGGATTACATAGAGGGAGTTCAGGCGTACTTCCGCCTGGAAAAAGATGGAAAGGTGGAGACAGTTCTCCATTCCCTGACTCTCCTCGTAGAGGACAACGTCCCCTTCGACATAGTCCTAGAATTGGAATGGGGAGAGGCAGTAGGGGCCACACTCCTTCTGAGAGAGCACGAGTGCAGGCTCCCTAGTCCGTCAGGCGGGGTTAAGACTGTCCCTTTGTTCCATGTGTCAGGAGTAGACAACTCCCTGGCACATTGTTGTCTTAGCGCTCCTGCATTCGCGAGGCTAGTGAAGGAGGAGCAGCTAGAAGAACAGGTTTTTATAACCTACCAGTTACCGAGCCTAAAGAAGAAAAGCCCATAGATCCCGCTATTGCCAAGACGTTGGAAGAGTACACAGATTTAGCTAAGCCGCCAACAGGGGTAGTCCCGCGGCCTATCCAACATCGCATTGAGACAGAGCCTGGCAGTAGGACTCCTAAAAGACCAGTGGAGGACTCCTAAAGGACCAGTGTACAAGATGTCCCCTCGGGCGTTGGAGGAGCTGCGCACGCAGTTAGATGAACTCTTAGAGAAGGGTTGGATTAGGCCCAATTCGTCTCCATTTGGAGCACCTGTTCTGTTTGTCCCCAAGAAGGAGGGAGAGCTTAGAATGTGCATTGACTATAGGGGTCTCAATGCTATCACAGTGAAGAATGCGAAGCCACTGCCCCGTATAGATGACGTATTAGATCACCCGGGTTGCAAGTATTTTTCGAATATAGATCTGAAGTCCGGATATCATCAGATAAAGGTGCATCCTGACGATCAGTATAAGACCGCGTTCCGGACTAGATATGGGCACTACGAGTTTATAGTTATGCCCTTTGGACTAACCAACACGCCAGCAACTTTTCAGCGTTGTATGAATGACTTGTTTAGGCCATGGTAAGACAGGTTTGTAGTAGTCTACTAAGATGATATTCTAGTGTTCAGTAGGACCCTCCAGGAGCGTGAGGGTCATCTGAGGCAAGTCTTGGAGAAGCTGAGAGATGCCAACTTCAAGATCAATGCAAAGCAGTGCGAATGGGCAAAGACACAAGTTTTGTATATACGCCATATCTTAGACGGAGACAGCATTAAGCCAGAAGATAACAAGGTCGCAGCGATTAGAGATTGGCCTACGCCCCGCACGTTGACAGAGTTGCGGTCGTTCTTAAGCCTAGCTAATTATTACAGAAAGTTTGTTAGGAACTTCTCCACCATCGCTGCACCCCTTCGCAGGTTGCTGAAGAAAGAAACACTTTGGAAGTGGGACAAGGACTGCACATCTGCCATGAAGAAACTGAAGCAGGCATTGATAGGGTATCCAGTCCTTAAGGTAGCCGATCCGTCCTTACCTTTCCTCGTCACCACTGACGCGAGCCAGTATGGTATAGGTGTTGTATTACAGCAAAACGATGGCAGTGGATATGGACCCGTAGAGTTCATGTCTGCTAGGATGCCTTCAGAGAATGTAGCAACATCCACATACGAAAGGGAACTCTACGCTCTCAGGCAAGCACTGGAACACTGGAAGCATTACTTGCTTGGGAGGCACTTTCAAGTATATTCAGACCACGAGACGTTAAGGTGGCTGAAGACTCAGGCCAAGATGACACCTAAGCTTACGAGGTGGGCCGCAAAGTTAGACCAATATGATTTTGAGCTCAAGCCAGTAAAAGGGAAGCACAATGTAGTTGCAGACGCTCTAAGTAGGAGAGTTGACTACTTTGGAGCCATAGTTCATTATTTGGATATAGGGAGAGACCTGCAACAGAAAGGTAAAGAGGCGTATGCGCAAGACCCTATCGATAGGGACCTCCTCAAGAGAGTAAAGGAGGCCCCTGAGTCCAAACCAGACTACCGCACTACGAAAGGACTATTATTTGAGAAGACTAACGTAGTTGACCAGTTGTATGTTCCTAACAGTGAGGAGATTCGTAGTCTGATTCTAGGGGAATGCCACAACATCGAGGGACATTTTGGTTGGCAAAAGACTTTAGCCAACCTCATGCGCGCGTACATATGGCCTGGAATGAAGGCCAACTGCATGGAGTATGTTCGCAGTTGTAAGGTCTGCCAGAGAAACACGACCTCTACACATGCCCCTCTAGGGTCTTCTCAGGCCCTTACCTATTCCTGACCAGCCGGGGGACTCAGTGTTCATTGACTTTATGGACACCCATGTCAAGAGTAGGCACGGCAAGAACCAAGTCATGGTTATAGTTGATAGATTTAGCAAGTATGCAATTTTTATTCCTTCGCCTGCGGAGGCACGCACGAAATTAGTAATTCATAAATTCTTTGATCATTGGGTCAGTGAGCACGGGATTCCGTTGTCTATAGTTAGTGATAGAGACACCCGGTGTCGGGACCGGTGGGTCCCGAATAACATCCCGACACTCGAGAGCCGGTATATAGCCAAGTTGTGCAAGGACAGAGAAATCTGGAGTAAGGAGGCAAGAGAGAGAGAAAAGACAAAGGACTAGGCCACCAAGCAGAATGATGCCCTGGGTTGAGAACTGCAGGGGGAAAGAACCGGCGACGACGAGCAAGCGCCAGGACATGGGCGCATAGGAACATAGCATGAGGTCAGGAGGGCCATTGGAATTCAACATGACTAAGGCCAAAGGGCCATTAACTTTGCAAATGCGACACGGCAAGCGACAAGAGAATAGGAAAGCCGAGAGGTGGACGGCCCCGGTGGCCGTGGGACGCAGAAAGGCCCAACGTGGGGGCCGCCTACGACAATTAACGGGAGCCTCGGATTGAACGCCCCGCGGCCAAAGAAACCGGCGCACGCAAGGCCCGAGAAAGGCAAGGAAAAAGGGCCACCGTAGGGCGGGGGATGCCAAAAGAACATGGGACACCTTGAGGAAAGACGCCAGGGACCACGTGGGACTAAGTAAAAATAATGGTATCCGAGATAAAATATGTCGGGGACCACCGGCGGGACAAAGTGTCGGGGACCACCGACGGGACAAAGTGTCTGGGACCACCGACGGGACAAAGTGTCGGAGACCACCGACGGGACAAGTGGCGGGGACATAAGAAGGTCTCAAGAGAAACGGCGGAGCGACATGAGGGGAAAATAATTAAAACAAGATGCACCGTCAAAATCGAGATCTTGACGGCCGAAAATATTAGCACCACTAGTGCAAGCATTAGTGGTAGCAAACGGGAAGGCAAAAGAAAAAGTAAAGAATCATGAAGTGGGAGGCATGGGAGCAATCGAAAAAATCTCGGATCAGCCTTCCGCAAGAAAATGAAGTCAAAAGAGACTCCATGTGAAAAATCGGAGTAGGAGGGGCTACTGTGGGAGAGAAATAGAGGAAAAAGGAAACTCCCATGGGCATGAGGAAGTCGGCCATTATTGCAGTCCGAGATGTAACGGACTGCACCATGGGCATAGGGAGGGCCAAAACTAAGAGGAAGGGCCTAGAAAAGAGCCTTAACGGCCACTTGACACTTGACATGCTAGAAAAAGAAAAGAAAGAAAAGAAAAAGGTTGGAGAATAAGACAAAAAAAGTCAGAGAGAGTGAGTCGGCCGTCAGTAGGGACTGCCACGAGTAGGGACTGGCAGGTCCCTATTGTCCAAGAAAGGAGGTTAAAAAAAAAAAAAAAAAAAAAAAGACAAAAAGGCCTTAACGGTAAAAAACGACCACTT